CTTCGTGAAATATGTCTTTCGAAGATACGAAGATTCAGATGACAAACGAGGCGTTCCGTTCGACTCGAATAACATGAATAAATCTGTTACCGTTCGAGGAGTAACATTCCAGGCGTTTCGGTAATATTTTCATTTTTTGGGAACAGGTTTCATCATTAACGGATTACCATTTTTCCTTTAAACGTCAAATTTTATGGCATTGTTGTTGCGGCAACAATGCGCCGGGATGGAGAAATAATGTTTTCACTCGCGCGGTTTGTTTGTTTTCGGAATGAATTATGTTCGCTTGTAAATGGCGCTTGCGGACGAAGCAAAACATGTCCGCGGTATCTCGACGCGGTGTTAGACTCGACGAGTGTTAGACTAAGCATTCCTGCAGTGTCTTTGTTCCTCATTTGCACATTGTTTCCCAATGTAGCTTTTCTGACGCGTGAATATTCTATCACTGGAATTTAGCTTCGTGAAACGCAATTTGACAAAATGGTAAAATAGTGAATTTCACAACTGTTATTTGTTAAATGATTAAGTGGATCTCTAGGAACAATAAGACAAGCTAACGATAAAAGTATTGAACATTTCTAAATCATAAATCAGATCTTCAATATCGTCGCGCGAATTCACAAAATCGAAGGAAATTCAATAACTCTGAATAACTGATAAATTACTAATTCATTCATTAATATTTGTACATAATTTTTGTTCAAACTTTAGGCCATCTAACTCAGAGGTAAAAATGGCTAATGACTCAACGACCGAAACGTCTTACGAAACCTTGAATCGCGTTCAAGATCGAGCCAGCTAATCACGCGACTGCCACTCACCTGTTGCGCGTTGCAATTTACATTTCAGTAGCTTCCACAATCAGGCTCTTCACCCGGCACGAAATTTTCTGGTTCGTGCGCTCCGCGACGTCGGGAATTGCGCGCCGCGATTTCGCAAAGATGGCTAATCACCGGCCGTGGAAGAAAAAGGAAACTACGAGCCTGTGTATGTTACAACCCGAAAATCCTGCACGCAACGTGGAAAACTTGGTCCCTCGTCTTGCGTCGCGTTCACTCGTGACAGTCGCGACGATTATTTCAAATTGTTGTTATTTAACCCTTTGCGTTCGAAAATTATTTCGCTAGACATATTCTTCATTCTCCAATGAAATATCGATGATACGTTTTATGAGTAATATTATTATAAACAATATAGAAATTAAGGGATAGAACTATTGTGTCTTAACGTTTCATGGATAATTAAGTTAAATGAAATTTAATATTCAACATGAAGCATGTTAATCGATTAATGCGTAGAGATATTCTCGCTTGAAGCGGAGAATCGTGAAAAGAGAGTAAAGAACAAAGCAGGTGACTCGTTTATCATTGTTGTTTTATCACTTCTCTTCAATTATACATGGGTTTACTTCTTCGAGCGCAGCCAGCCGTGAAAGTCTGCGTACGCCTGAGCTTCGAACGTGGACATTAATTCGACAAGTTCGTTTCTTCGTGTGTATGCGGTCAAAAGTCTCGTTCAGTTGATTAGTTCAGTTCTGACAAGTTCGAGTAATTGGAAAGATAATTTTAAAATTTAAGTTTAAAACAAGCTTAAATCTCTAACGAATATCATGGGAAATAGGAGCATTCGTTGTTCAACTCAAATTAACCCTTTGCACTCGAGAGACGCCTTCCAGTCGCCATTTGGTTTGACCCAAGAAAATTGTAAAATTGCAAATTCAATATTAAATTTCATATAACGTACGAACACATGGAACATCGAAATAAAATAGTTCTGTCACTTAATTCATGCAAGGTATTTCTTTATGTTAATTGCAGAAAATATCATTGACATTTCATCAGAAAGTAATGAATATTGAGAAAAATACTCTCGAGTGCAAAGGTTTAAGTGAATTTGTTGCTGTGATATTACAATGACAAATTTTCGTCGTTCTGTTGCATCTGTTTTGTGGACAATTTTATGTAGAAAAATCTGTTTTTCGATTTTCTTCGAGGCGAATGTAAAGAAACGCGAATGATCCTTTCAGAGTTGCTCTAATTTCAACCAAGAAACGGATGGATTGGTGCAGAATGTTGAGAATTCTCATTTTCCCGTTGCGATATTCGAAACTCGACGGTGTTCGAGTTCGCAGCCTTTCACGACCGGTCGCGCGCAACAGCTCAAGCATCCATTCGTATTTAGTTCGCTAAAAAAAAAGTCAGTTCGCCAAACGGTTCATCGTTCATCCAGCAAGTGATCAAAATACATTTTTTTTACTTTTTTTTTTGTTTCGAGCGGTAGTGTACAGTGTGCGCGCGTGTGAAATTAGCAGACTCTCAACATTTCAAGTCTTGAAAGACTTTCAAGACTATCAACATTTCAATTCTTTGATGACTTTCAAGACTCTCAAGACTTTCAGAACTTTCAAAACATTCAATGTCTTCAAAACATTCAAGACTTTCAGAACTCTCATAACTGTCAAGACCTTCAAGATCTTCAGGACTTCCAAGACTTTTAATACATTCTAATTCTACCGAATCATTCAATACTCAAGACTCACCAAGTCTTCGAAGACAATCTTTTCTATGGAATCGACTTCCAATATAAATTTCGTACAGGTCTAATAATGAGTGCTTCAATATTCAGCAAATGTACTCTTCCAGTTTTCTGAAAGAATTCTGGATAAGTCAGTTAGAAGTTAAACAAATCTGACTAAGAAACAAATTATTTGAACAGCTCTCGGTAGTTGTAGCGTTAAACAACGCACACACGCACGCCCCACTGTACAACGAGGTCGCTTCCGGAAGCAAGATCGCGCCCTGAAAAAAATCCTTTCGCAAGGTGCGGATCCCGTGTTCATCCTTAAGTACTGGATACAAGATTACAATTACCGTCATTACGAGCCATTATTATTGTTACAACTTGCTTATACGTTTCATATTCAGCGCGCCACTGCAAAACACGATTCCTCCGATTTCGTCCGGTTCCTTCCGCCTCCACAAATTCCTTTTCACCACCAATCACCTCGCATTGCCGCTCGTCCGTCGAAACGATCGCGCAACGTTGAAAATCGCGATTTCCCAGAGTATAACATAATCTTCTAAATTAACATCGAATCGAATGCAAAATGAATGTTAATCTAATTTTCTAAATCAATATCGAATCGAATGCAAAACGAATGTTAATCTAATTTTCGAAATCAACAACGAATAGAATACAAAACGAATGTTAATTCAATTTTCGAAATCAACAGCGAATAGAATGCAAAATGAATGTTAATTCAATTTTCTAAATCAACATCAAATCAAATGCAAAGTGAATGTTAATCTAATCTTCTAAATCAACATCGAATCGAATACAGAACAAATGTTAACATTCCTACGAAAGTGTAAAGAGACTTAACCCTTTGCACTCGAGATGCAACTCGAGAGACGAAGTCTCCATTCGATCAGAGTAAGATTATAAAAGTTCAAATTCAATGTTAAATCTTGCGTACATTATCAGCCCGTGAAACACTGAAATAAAATATCCATCCTCCAATTGAAACAAAATTCTATCAATTAGGAAACCGACGAAAAATTCATCAAGAAAATAAAATAAATCTTTCACATTTACAATCAGAAGTACCATCGAGTGCGAAGGGTTGATAAATTGTAACAGTATCGTTTATTTCTCAATTATAAATGTCGGAGCCGCTCGGAACTCCGAGGCGCCATTGCGACGGACGAGCGTCGCCGCGCTCCTCCCTCGTTCCATCCGTTTAAATATCGATATTATCAAAGCTACTCCGTTTTACGTTCTGTGTATAATAAAATACATTTATTATTAGTCCTGGACCACGTGAAGTTTCTCGTTTGATCCTCGCGCGATTGACATGAAAAAAGTATCACATGAATTACATTACGGTGGTCGCCGCCGCGTGACGTTCGCGTTCGTTCGGTGCGTTAAACGAAAATTAAACAAAAGAAAGAGAGAACAACACCTGTCCGTCCGTCCATCGCTTAAAAATATATCATTTGCTCCGCTCGTTCACGCGAAATTTCCTTTCCTTTCGCAGCTTCGAGCGAAAATGCGGTGAACTCGTCGAGACAGAGACATTTAATGACACGTTCACCGACGATCATTCTCTAGCATTTCGTGTAGTATCACTTATTTTCCCACAACAAACGCAGATGGTACTGGAATGAATTGTTAACAGATCGAACGCCGTATTTCATGCAGAATACACGAAATGGGAAAAATCAAATCATCATTCGATTGAACTGCGTTGTGATTGGTAGCATCGTTTAGAGTATACTTAACACATTGCGTACCGGTAACGAGAAATCTCGTTTTTATATAAAGACGAAAAAATATGAAATTTAATTCGAATCGATTATCTATTTAAAATATATTACACAACAGTATATCCGAGTTTTTCTATGTATAGTGATGTAAGTTGACCTCAGTGAAAATTGCCATCCGCACAATTCAGTTTGAAAATTAGCCGGTACGCAATGTGTTGAGACGTAGAATACGTGACGTCTTTAGACGCTATAGTCTGGACCGTATAAATGGCTGTTCAAGGTTGTAACTCCCCGCCATGACACCTGACCACTCCCACTTCGGTGTTCCCGCGTTAACCCGCTGCCCTATTTCTTTCTCAACCGTGATCGATGCAAGTACTTCGACATGAATAATTGATGGGGAAAGAGAGAGCAGTTCTAGGTACATACGTGAACAACTGATAACGAAAGAATTCATTTGAAAACCCAGTGTTCACTGACACTAGAACTACTTAGCAATGTGTTAATAAACGCCACTAATGGTTTCCATGCAGAGATTGGTAACGGTTAAAGTGATCGGTAGTTCCAGCGTTGAAAACTTTCGTTCAGACGTCAGGAACATTTACAGGTCGACAGATTTTCAAGGGAAATCGGGTGTACTGGGTGTTTGCGATGTGAACTCGGGTTAATGTGTGTTATAATTGCAACTGCGGATTCTGGGTATGCGTTTGAAACGGTGGTAAATAAGAGACTGCACTCGATTTTTCATAATATTCGATTTCGAACTATCATCCTCATCTCTCCAGATTAGTCTGCGAAGACTTTCGCTCGCACAAGTATCCGCAAATCTATTTATCACAATGTATCATCACCATCGTTCGCATGAAACATTTCAATAAAACCTCCAGTCCAGACTATTCAACATTCCGGCAGACTTCCGACGAGTTTACAAGTTCACCGAATCCGTTCCGCTCGAAGTACAAAGTGAACCCCTTGCCTGTTGGTCTCTCGAGTCGGTGGCCTATTACAGAAACGCTGATTCGCTCCGCTAAAATCTGACAGTCGATAACAGAAGAATATTCAATTCGAATTCAGGCGTTAATTTATCTATGAATCGTTAAATTAGTTTCAAGCAATGTCTACGTCTCGTCGGAAAGTGTCGAGTATTTGAAAGAGTTGAAATCCTGCCGGCAAGGGGTTGAAGGTCGTCGATTAAAATGATCTCGAGAATCTCCCTCGGGACAGTTTGAACGGAAGCGAACCGATTTCACCGGCGATCATACGCGATGACTTCCTGCCCGACGCGAAGCTGACAATCTCCCCCAAACAAACGCCATTCATTCGCATCGACATTGAGACAGCTTACGCGACAAAGGAAAAGATAAACATCGCCGCTTCCTCCATGTAAGTGTAGCGCGTTCCGCGAGAAATGCATAATTCTGTTTCATCACAGCAAAGGGCGCAGAGAGACAGACAGAGTTAGAAAGAGAAAGAGAGAGAAGAGAGAGAGAGAAGAGAGAGAACAGTAGAAATTGACAGAGCGCGAACGAAAAAACCACTAAATAGCGTTACCTATCGTTGCAAGCGGATACACAACGCGTCCATTTAATACTTGATTTGCAACGGTGCAGTTCGCCGCGCGTGGGAACAGTAAGCATCTCTTGTATAATATATCTATATATATTAACATTTCATCTATAAGCAAGAAAACGAACATACGTAGCTGAACGCGCTAGAAACGAATTATATCCTATCCGATGTGTCTATCAAGTTCTGCTGTCGACCGTTCGCAGTGCAGTCATCGGATCCATTAACACTTAGGCGACCGCCTAAAAAGAACTAAAATCACAACCTCCATTATCTTTGAACTCGTTCAATTCATTCGGTTAAACTGTGTTTTGTAAAAGAACCGTATTTGATGGATTGCAGATAATCCCACTTCGTGACTTGATGAACAAAAGATAAACAATGGAAGATACGTTGATAAGTGAACAGTGGGAGATCGGTTGGCTAAGTGTTAAAATGTGATTGTATGTTAGGTCTACTGGAAAGTTCTGGCAATCTCGAGTTTGGAAATATTCTATAGATTGAATATATTATTTCTGTTGTCGATCATTGTATCTTAGAGCACGTGTTCTCTTATTTCCAATGAATTATTAATAACAGTTGGATCGATTAGTTGAGAACATAGGGCAAGAGGTTGAAACCTATAAGTTGTATTATAAGTATCGGTTTCGAATGTGAAGACTGATCTTGCGTTTGAATAGTGAAATCAATCGTTTACAGTTTTCAGATATACGCTTGATGTCACTAATGGCACTGTCTTCAGAGTTAACAAATGTATTGAAAATGTATTTGGATCTAGAAACGAATAGAATTTTCCGGTGGACCTAATGGCATGTTGAAGTATTTCTCCTCGGTTGTTGTAGTTAATCGAATTGCAATAAGTTAAAAGTGCTCGGCGACTGTACTGCGAAGGGTGAACGGCGACGTAACTCGCGGGTACGCGTAATATTTCATAAATACACGCGCCAACTGTGTTCCATATCGTGTGTATGCGAAATTGCCCTTTGCGTTCCATCCTGGGATACCCTGTATCCACCGAATTAACTCTAAAACCGCGAAACTGAAGGTCGTTCGAAACGAAAAGCCCTCCTCATCCGAAATGGGAAACACCGTTCGGTCGATGTGCGTCGAATTTTTATATATATATACAATTTATATAACAAACGAAGAATTTTGACACGAGCGCGTTAACGCGACGATGAATAGAATACACCATCATCATCATCGTGAAACGAATTTTTCAACTTCCCTCGAATTTTTTCCCCCCCGATCCTTTTTCCCAGTTGTACGATACGCAAACGGCTTAAATATAATATGCATCTTCTAAAATAGAACAGACTCAAAAACTCACTCGTATAAAGGATAAAATATAGGTGCGCGTAAAATCCCTAACTCTATTAAATAATTTCTATTAAGCGCTTAACACGGTAGTCGCCTAAAACCTAATTTACATTATCATGATAATTGTAATATAATAGAATTATATTAACTTAATAACTTTATATACCAACAATGTGCAGTATCGTGATATAAACATTTATACCGTGTCGCTCGTGCTCGTTCGACACCGAAGGCGCAACAGTTCTCGAACAGACTGTACGATTTGAAAAAGAAAAGGAAACATGATCGAGAGCGTTACATTTTCTTTTTCCATGATAAACACCGTGTGAACGCGAGCATGTATAGCCCGCGTATGCGTATATGCGTGTGGGTACGTGTGTTTGTCGAGTTTATCGTTTAAAAGCGACGACACTTTTAAAGGAGCTAATAAAATGACGCAACATGATAGGTCAGAAATGCTATATCGATGAAAATAGAAACGCAAGACCGAGTATCATCGTTGTACGAACATTTTACGATATATATATATATATATACACACACACACATATATATATATATATATATATATCTGTTCCATAGACGATATGAATTAATCTCTTCGCGTATGATTCACGCTGTACACGTTAGCTCCATTGATTCTTGCCGCCTACAGGTAGCCAGACAATGGACACCGACGGCAAGGATCATGGAAGAAATGATGCACGTTCCGACTTTAACGCCGTTCAAATGTAAACTCCAAGTACAAAAACTTGTTACGCGTAATAAATTACAATTCACGAGGAAACCTCCGCTAATTGGAAAACAACCGTTCCTTTTTTTCTTTTTTTGTTCTCCTTCATCTTTCTCGAAACGTAAAAGAAAACGAACGCTACGATGCGTGTCGCGTGTACAACTATTTTACAAAAGTCTATATTACTAATCCTCACCCCCCTCCCGATCGTTCTGGTATTACCGATCTCGGTTCCATGGTTGGCCGAGACGCTCTCGTCGAGTATCATACGTCTGGTCGAATGTCCGCGATCCGTTAGAAAAATTTATGATCAGTCACTTCTCGTACAAATGAATAGAATGTTATGCGGCCAGTGGTCCCCGGCCAGAGGCGATGGTCACGTTAGCAATGATTAAGTTAGTTAAATAACATGCGCGGTTACACTTTCGTTACAAGATAGCACGGGTGAGATTCTTTGGAGGAGTTATTTCTCGGATGACGAGACGAGATCATTCATCGGGCGTCCTTCGCCGTTAATTTCTCTATTAATTCTTGTAACGGCGCTAATTCCCTTCTCTCGATCAAATTGAATTCCTACGGGACAGACAGGTGAAACGAAAATTACAAGAGTTTCATGGAGATCCGGAAAGATATATTTTAGAGATACGAATTCGTTGTAATTCCTTTCTAAATACCTGAACGAAAAAGATGAAGTGTTTGAAAGACGTATTTAAATGTGCCTCCTCTCCTAGTTGTACCACTTCGCTGAAGTGCTGATGATAAATGTGGGCATACACTCTGAACAGTCGTTTTAATATTGTCTTCGCGATGGACAAGAAATTTTTTGGGAAGGGAACACCTGTAAAATCAACTCTTGTGAGTGTTGTGTCGCGTGGAATAGAAATAGTTTCATCTAGTAAAATAAATATTGATTACCAATTTTTGAAGGGAATAATGTTTCGTCGTCTAACTGATCCTGCACCCAAGTCATTAAGTAGTCAATATACTTTGGTGCAGAACACTTGATCGGCTTCTTGACAGTGTGCCCATCAGCCCAATGGTACTCGTATTTCGGTCCTGCAGACATGATGGGACAACTTTCTTCTGTGCAAAATTCTGTGATAGTGCCATATAACATGTTGATTTGATTAAAAAAATCAACAGCTGGAACAGTGATAGGATCGTATTAACTACTGCATAAAATAGATATCAGCTTATATAAATCTTCACGTACTATTTACAGCGACCCATTCATTCAAATCTTCACCCTCTGGAAGCATAACTGCAAGCCTTAGATTGCCAGATCCTAGAGTGGCAGCAGCATGTTTCATCAAGTCATATTGATGAGTCCCCTCAGGAATATTTTTCTTTGGCTTGAAGGTTTTCGAAGATCTGCTTCCACTTAAAAAATCCATGAAAATATTCCTTTAACAATTTCTAATCTTATAGAAGTTACACAAACTTATTCTAATTGTTATTCCAACTATTACATATCGTGGACAAAAAGATTACACAGAAATGGTTCCAAAAAATATTCTTAGAACCAGAATCCTGCTCCAAATGTTCAATTTACAGAACAAACCAAATCAAGCATAGCTAATTCTTACATTATCAAAACATGATTATTCTTACATTATCAAACTCACATTCTTTCATTCTTCATACACCAATCTTTCGCATCTTTCACCTGTTGCTCTATCCCATTCATTCTCACTCATTCAAGCATTCACTACAATTCGGCCATCCTGCTTATTCGACATCCTCGGGGACTACATTCTGCCTATATTTCCTATATCTAATTATTCTCAAACACTGCTCTAGCTACAAATTTTAATCAGTCTACTGCTACTACTCCTTAGTAAACTCTAGCGCTTTGTTTTTGCCCTCAATGTCGCGTACAACATAACGATCATTTCCGAGTACCTTCTCTCATATGGTCCTCGACATTTTGGTGACAATTTCCGACTTTCGCCAGTCGCAGGTATTTCGCTTTTTACAAGAACTAAATCATCTACTCGATATTCGCGATACATGTTCGCTCTGGCCACACTTGAAACACGTTGTCAACGGTCTTGCCCTTGACAGGTACGCGCGGTATGTCCCGCCTGTTTACATGCGTGACAAGTTATCCGTGAATTTGGCTGGGCCGACCTGTTTATATGTCACGTATCTGTGACAGCTGGTATCTCCTTCAAATTCAAATTCGAATGCCGCAAATCTGTTAGGAGTTCGCTCGGTCGTCTATAACGGCTTAGTGGCCCTAAAAGTTATTCAATCCATCCACAATCCACCCTATAGCTTCGCGGTCTCTCATTCCCGCCTTATTACATCTAGTCAACTTCTCATAGCAGTATTCTACAATATCTCGATTCGGACGTCTCTTATAATTTTTGACTCACCATGCTTTCGTCTGATGGAAAGTTTTCGATTAACAAGTCCTTCCATTGCAACCATGAGCGCGCAACACGTGGTAAACTGTCTCGCCATTTTCTTGCGACGCCGGTTAGTTTCGACAAGGCGTAATGTTTGATCGTTCGAAACAGGGTCAAACACAGGTAACACACTCGACACATCGCGAAAACGTCGCTCCTCGCGTTCTCGTCCTTCGTCGGCCATTGTTAAAGAAACTCCGAGTACTACGCCCGTTTGGCCTGTTATTTCTAACAATTTCGCACAATACAGTACTACGTCTGTTTGTACGCCAACCGAAAGGCTTGACACCTTTAAACGCACCCTTTAACGATTTTACACGAACGGTACAACAACGCGGCGATCCCGCTTCTGACAATTGTCGCAATCTCTTCACGGCGCGTTATTCTGTTGTTTTTCGCCGGTCAACTAACAACTGACTCTCGTCCTCTCCTGGCACTCGTATTTAGCAACACACTCACATTCTTTCGTTCTTCGTACGCCAATCTTTCGCATCTTTCGCCTGTCGCTCTATCCCATTCGTTCCCACTCGTTCGGCGCGCATCTCGTACTCATTCAAACATTCGCTCGCCACACAAGCACAGCTAATTCTTGCATTATCAAAACATACATTAACGTATAAGACCTAGACATCCAGTGAATTAAAACATGAACTCCAGTAAAAATTCATTCGACGCTCCATTTCATTTTTGACGTTATTAAAAATTTGTCAGGTACCACCGGCGAGGAAAATCGATTTCCACCTGTACCTCGTTCGCGAGACTCGATTTCTCGAAATTTGAATTACTACGAACATCCGCGGTGCAAAATGTAACGGGCAGGAAACTAAACCAAGAACTGTTTACTGTTTACCAAAGCCCGTGTCGGCCAGCACGGCCGATCGGGGCGGACGTGACAGAATCGATCGATTTGAATCGCTCTTAAAACCCTCCGCCCCGATACCGAGCAAACCGCGA